AGGGACACGCTGGGATGAGGTGGGGTGAGGGACACGCTGGGATGAGGGACACGCTGGGATGAGGGACGCGCTGGGGTGAGGGCTCAGGTGCAGCTTCGTTCAAGGGCGGCTCAGCTATTGTATCGAATGCCTTCCTTGTCACCTGCAGTTTGCGGGTCCCCGAGACCACCCTCGCCCTAGCCCCGCTTCTCTCCAGCAATCATGCATAATGTGCATTTGTTTACTTATTCTGTCCCCTGCACAGGGGCAGCCACTGAGGGTGGAGGCGTCCCTGGCTTACGCACTGCTGGGTCCTGAGTGCCTGGCGAGGACTCGGGGAAGGCGGGGTGGGATCGCCGAGTTCCCGGGGCTCAAGACCACCCCCGCTCCAGCCTGGTAGGGAGGACTCACCAGGGGTGACAGGCCCAGGCCACGGCCAGAGAAAAGGCCTGGAAGGTGCCCTCCATCACCGGGAACTCGCTGAAGGCCCTCCTGAGCGGCAGGTGTGGGGCAGGACTGGGTCTGCTTTGCCAACACATGGTCATCGGCAAATGCTCCCGCCCAGCATCCCCACGCCCGGGAGGAGGATGCCCCAGGTTCCCCCGTCGGCCGTGTTGTCTGAGTGGGGCACCTCGGGCACTAACCCAGGCCTAAGGTGTTGGCTCATGGCTCTCCTTGGCCGCGCGACCAGTTCTGGGATGGGCACTGTCGGAGCCAGTGTGCCGAGTGAACCACAGGACCTGGGAGGCTGCTGGGACGAGGGCTTCCTCTTTCAGGACCCTCCACGCTGGCAGGGCCAAGGCCCTCTGCCCCTCCCCCATGCAGCTGCCAGTCACCAGAGCACCTCTCCCTCCCCGCTGCTGCCCTTGGCCCTGCCAGCCCTCTGCTGGCTGCCCCCGCATCCCACTCCTCTGTTTGCACCCCGCAGAGGCTCCTGACTGACAGATTGCAGCCACAGCTCCCACGAGGGGTCCCGATGCCTGCCCTGAGTCCAAGGTCACAGCACCTCCCTCTCTGTGCTGTTGGCACCCTTCCACCCACCCCCAGGGCCACTCCCTCGGGTCCTGGGAACACAGCCCATAAGTGCTCTGCAGAGGATCACTCAGTCCTAAGCCCCCGGGAGAAGTGCTACCCCACCAGCTCTGCGAAGAGAATCCAGTGTTAACCCACTGGCCGCTGCTCAGAGCACCTGCCGGAAGCCGTGGCCCCCATCTGCCAGGCGAGCGTTCCAGCTGCATCCCGGCGCCCACTGCTCACGCCGTAGCCCCGGGGCCACGGGGGACTGAGAGGCCAGAGGAACCTCAGGCGGAGGCCACAGGTGCTGAGTGCGGCCGAGCTGGGCCAGGGGTCCTGTGCAGAGTCAACCTCCCAGTAAATTCTCCAAAGTTCAAGTGTAACATGCTTCCACTCAGCTTGGACTGGCGACCAGAGATCTCCAGGAGGTGACAAGTGACTCCCTCTGAGCTCACCACCCAGGAACTGGATCTCCCAGCAGGGCCCTTGAACGGGAGGCTTGTCCCGGGGACCCCTGGGCTGACATAAGGGGTGTAGATATCTGGATCTTGGGGGTCAGACTCCCCCCGCCCTGCCTCTCCTGTCGGGGAGGGCGCTCAAGGCAGGCACTGCAAGTACAATCACAGACACCCGAGCGGCCCCCATGGGAGGGCCCCCAGGAGCCCCCAGGAGCCAAGGGCCAGGCCTGATTGCCCCTGGGAGACGCCCCCGGCCTGTGAGAAGAAGCCACGCAGAACCCAGCAGAGAGGAGGCCAGGCCTGCTGGGCAGTCCTCGCCCAATGGAATAAAGGGTCCCCAGGAGGCCAGGCAGGGCTGAGCAGTCCCCGCTCAAGAGGCCAAAGGGAGGAGGGTGAGCCCAACCAGCTCGGGAAGGCAGCAGGCAGTGAGGGCCACCCGGCACCGCCCAGGAGTCTCCAGGGCCCGCCTGCACCGCCCCCATGCCAGGATCACATCCTCTCTGGTGCCTCCTGCCACGGGTCAGAAGTGTCTGAATAAGGAGTTCCCAGGGCTCACTCTCTGGGGCATTCGCTGAGGATTTCACTGGTTTTCCTTCTGCAGCGTCAGGACGAGCTGAACGCTCTCTTAAACAGGAGAGACTGGGCAGGGGAGGCGGGGAGGGGCGCTTGGGGGGCACACCCATCCCTCCTTCCACCGGATGTGCAGCGGCCCAGCGGACAGCCAGGCGGGCTCGTGTCGCGGCTCTGAGGACGCAGGCCCCCCAAGGGCAGGCTCAGAGGCCAGGCCAGGGTCCCCACAGGCTGAAGTGCACGGAGGCCGGATGGATGACGGCCCCAGAGGTCAGGCCCACGAGTCACAGGGCAGGACGTCCACCGCTGGCGAGGGGCGGCCAGGCCTGGAAGAGGGGATTGCAGCACCCACAGAGGGGCTGTGCTCTCCTGCCGGCCCCTCCTTGCAGCCCTCAGGTCCCTGGGAAAGACATCCAGGGCTGCAGGGCCGTCAGGGGCAGGTGTGGAGGGGGGTGGGGGGCAGGGCCAGGCCCAGCCTCACCCCAAGCAGCTCCCACCACGGGGGGCACATGCAGGTGTATGAGGGGTTGTGTGAGGGTGTGACGGGCCCCATCCCCGGCCGCCTTCCCCCAGGCTGACCCCAGAGCCCCGGTCAGGTTGCTGTCAGGGCAGCTTAGCTCCTACGCCCTCTCTGTCAGGGCTGCCGGCTCCCCCTTCTCAGCCCAGAGCCCATGCAGGTTCTCCCTTTTCCAGAAAGTTCTAGAATATGGACACATATACCCACAAGGAAGTAGTTATGGCTATTTCATGAAGATAATTTCTGAAAGTGAAACCACTAGGTCAGAAGGGTCTGAACCACTATGAAATTGCTCTCAAGAAGGGCCGGGTCCATGTAATTTGCCTGCTGACCTCCATACTGAGCCCCTGTACTAAGAGACAGAAACCCAAAGTGACCGCCCGTCAGAGTACCCATATCTCTCCCAATCAGGGAGCCCTATTGTCCCTCCACGGCCGCACCCGGTACTTGCTTGTGTATTTTTTTTTAATAACTTTACTTATTTATTAACTTATTTTTGGCTGCGTTGGGTCTTCGTTGCTGCGTGTGGGCTTTCTCTAGTTGCCGCGAGCGGGGGCTTCTCTTTGTTGCGGAGCGTGGGCTCTAGGATGAGTGGGCTTCAGTAATTATGGCACACGGGCTCAGTAGTTGTGGCACGTGGGCTCAGTAGTTGTGGCTCATGGGCTCTAGAGCACAGGCTCAGCAGTTGTGGTGCACGGGCTTAGCTGCTCCGCAGCCTGTGGGATCTTCCCGGACCAGGGCTCGAACCCGTGTCCCCCGCATTGGCAGGCGGATTCTTAACTACTGCGCCACCAGGGAAGCCCTATTCGTATGTCTATATGCATGTTTATTCACACTTCTGCCTCTTCCAGCGTCCCGCGGCTCCTGCAATCTCTGCTCCATCTTCAGGGGTCCTTCTCCTCTCTGTGTCTCCGTCTCTGTCTCTCCTCTTATAAAGACCCAGTCTTTGGATTCAGGGCCCACCCTAATCCCATATAACCTCACCTTAACTTAGTTGCATCTGCAAAGACCCCATTTCCAAATAAGGCCACATTCTGAGGCCCTGGTGGACATGAATTTGGGGGACACTCTCCCACGCAGCACACTATGAAACCACAGTCCATATAAACGGCTTTGGAGGCATGCTCCCTCAGCCACCGGCTCCCCACGCTGTGCTCCGGCCACGCGTCCCCGCAGGGTGTGGCCAGCATTCCGGCTTCGTGTCCGAGGGCCTTTGCATGGGCCGCTCCCTCTGCCCCCACGTTCCCGGGGCTCGTTCCTCACTGAATTCTAATATCACCTTCCTGGTCATCCAAAGCAAACCAGCCGTCCTGGGCATCCTGAGCCCCACTGTGAGGCACTGGCCTCCGTGCAGCACACAATGTGGCTGCGTGAGGCCACATGTGCCTCTAGCCGGATGGCGCCCCCAGGGCAGGGCTCTGTCTCTGCTCACAGCGGCACCCCACCGCCTGAGCAGCGCCGGGCGCGTGGCCTGTGTGGAGGGGCTGAGGGTCCCAGGCAGAGCCGGCAGCTGGCAGGGCCCCAGAGCAGGCGTCTCAGCACGCCCAGCAGCAGGAGGATGGCTGATTTAATTGAAGCCCAGAGTCCCTGCAATAAGCTAGGAAATGTATACCTGCAATTTGTGGGCCGAGCTGAGCAGGCAGACGCCTCAGGCCTCGTTACGCCTCCCACGGGAGGATTTACTGGGGCCAAAGGCGCTGCAGTCTGGATTGGCTCCAGCCCGCCAGCTCGCTCTGGGTGGCTGGGCGGCAGGTTTAGGGGCGCCCGCCCAGCCCTGCCCAGCAGGCCTTGGGGGTCAGGACGAGCTCCCAGCCAGTCTGGGCGTTCTCTCCGGTCTGCTCCCCGGCCTGCGTGAGAAGGGGTTAAGGGAACATCTGTCCAGCTACTCGGTTGTGCCAGTGTCATCCAAGGGATCAAGCAGGGGACACACCTGCAGCTGGCAGGGCAGGGCCGGACAAGGGCTCAGTCCACAGAGTAACCGGCGTCCCCAGATGGACACGTCGGAGCCCCATGTGAGGCCACAAGGCAGCTGCGAGGCCAGCGCCCAGCGTTCGGAAGGCTCTGTCCCCGTTCCTAGGCCCCGGGGGGACCAGATACTCAGCCTTCTGCCACCCAGGGAAGAGTGCCAGCAGAGAGAGCTGTCAGCACAGAAGCCTGAGGAGGCCACCTGGCCAGGGCACAGGAAGGTGGGGGGCAAGGAGGCCGAGAGAGAGCAGGGTCCCCCAGGCCATTTATAAAGACTGGCTTTTATTCAAGTGGGGGGACTGCTCAGAGAAGAGGGAGGGCGCTGAGCAGGGCAGGGTCTCGCCGGCCCAGGGCAGAGGGCAGGGATGTGCCTGGGGGTCAGCCAGGGGGCGCCAGGAGGAACCTGAAGGGCTTGCTGCCCCCGGCCCTGCACCGGCGCTCCGACAGGTGACGCGGGGGAGGGGAGCCATTAATTTGGAATAAATAGGAGTGTGTGTGGTTTTACGGGTTACGGCTTGATAAATAAGACTCTGGGTCTGTATGTGAGCATGTGCGAACATGTGTGCATATGTGCGGGAGTGTGTGGGCATGTGTGTGAATGAGTGTGTGAGCGTTGAATGGTCGGTGTAGTGTGTGAATGTGCTGCCTGACTGGGGTGGCCTAAGGTGACGTGTGTGACACACCCTTCCTGAAGTTCAGAACAAGAACAATCGAACGCCCCACCGGGCTGTGGGGCGAGGCCGCCTGTGTGCCGGCAGCCGGTGGCGAAGACGGCCAGGGCGCCGCGGACCCCTGCACCCACGCCCCGTGACTTGTGACAGCCTTCCCATCGAGGTGGTGGGGGGAGGTATACTTCCCCTCCCCCGGAAACAGGGCTGGCCTGTGTCCCACCCAGATGGTCAGACCAGGGAGTGTCATCGCTCGAGCCCCGGACCCAGGCCTCAGGAGGCCCCCGCTTCCGGAGAGCCCCAGGGGAGGCTTCCGGGGAAGACAGAAGACCCGGGCCAGCCAGCCGAGGCGAGAGGCCACCACTCCACACCCCGCACGCCCCAGCAGAGCCCCGACAGACCTGGAGCAGCACGTGGAAAGGGCTTCCTTCCCAGCACAGCCGAGCAGCTGAGGCCGGGCCCTCTGGAGGCCAAGGGGGTGTGTGGGAAGCCCCGTGAGGATAAGAAGGCCGACCACAAGCCTCCCGCTGCACGACCTTGCGGCCAGCGTAGCACAGCACTGGCGGGCGTCAGCACTCATCTAAGGCCTTGTTACGGGTCGAGAGTTTGAATGGCCTTCCAAGAGTGTGTGCCCAGCACCTGTGAGTGCGACCTCATTTGGAAAAAATCTTTCCAATGTGATCAAGTTAAAATGAGGTCTTACTGCTGCACTGAATCCCTGGAAGCAGACACGGCAGGGGATGAAGGTTGCTAATCTGCTGGCCTCAGAATAAGATGATACTGGTGATCAGGCAGGCCCAGCGCCACCACCGCGCCCGTAAGTGGGAAGGGAGGAAGGGAGGGGCTGTACGTAGAGCGGGTGTCACTCCTGCCTCCGTGCGTAAGTCGGAAATGTCTCTAGACATGCCCCGGGGGCAACGTCACCCCAGTGAGATCCCTGCCCCGCCTGACGTGCCGGCTGGGGTCCCCACGACCCACACACCCTGAGCCACGTGGGGCTCAGCTGCGGGAGGTGAGGGCCAGGCGCCCTGCGCCCACGCCTGCGCCCCATGCACTTACTGAGCACCTTCCCACCGAGCCCAGTACTTCACACGGGCCCTCAGTTCTCTGTCGCCACCTGACGAGTCGCCCAGACTCCGTGGCTCAACCCAACTGCACTCAGTTCTTTTGCTCATGCACCTGCCAGGTGGGCAGGGCTCAGTGACCATACTTGCCTCTGCTCCACACCTGGGCAGCTCAGCTGGGTGGGAGGACCCACTAGGCTGGGGGCCAAGGGCCTTGGTTCCTCCCCACGTGGCCCCCTCCCCACGTGGCCCCCTCCCCACGTGGCCCCTCCCCACGTGAGCTGCTGGGGCTTTCCCCACAGCATGGCGGCTGGTTCCAAGTGCAAACATCAGTGTCACACAGCCCAGCACGTGGCCCGACGTTCACTGTGCTGTGTCAGCTAAGGCAGTCACGATGGCCAGCCCGGTTCCAGGGCAGGGAGCAGCCCCACCAGGACCAGCGGAGGGCACACAAGTGGGAGATGCTATGCCGGCATCTTTAGAGACTCGCCTGCTACACGTGAATCAAATCACTGTAATCCTCACACCCCCATCTGAGGCAGACGTGTGTTCCTGGTGAGCAACCGGGGGAGCAGCGCAGTCAGTAAGTTGCCCAAGGCCACGCGCAAGGACAGCGGAGCTGGGACTGACACCCAGACCTCCGTCCCCAGGGGGTGGGCATTCCCTTGTCGCAGCTGAGTGGAATCTTTTGGACAATCCGTGGATTCCAGCCACGAGGTTGAGGAGTGTCCCCTAAGGGTCCTCACCCACCTCCAGGACCGGCGAAGGGGTGGCCCGGCCGGCACAGCCCGTCCGTCAGCAGGCGGCGGCCCGCGGCCCAGCGGTCACTGTCTCCTGTTCGCCACAGAACAGGTTGGAAGTCTGGCCAAATGCTAAGATTCACACACGTTTCCCCAGCCGCCTTATTCCTTGCTGGTCTAGTACAGGGGTGGGGGGAAGAGTCCCAGCCCCCAGAGACGCCAGGTCTCAATCCGTGGGACCCGTGAATAGTTACCTTATGAGGCCAAAGGGCCTTGGTCCTCAAATGGGGAGATTGTCCTGGGTGATGGGGTGGGCCCAGTGTCGTCACAAGGGTCCTTATAAGGGGAGGTGGGGGGTCAGTCAGAGAAGGGGACGTGACGGCAGAAGGAGAGGTTGGAAGGATTGGCTCTGAAGTTGCAGAGGGGTGGGAGGCAAGGATGAGGACAGCTTCTAGAAACTGGAAAAGCAAGGAAAGGACTCTCGCCGGAACCTCCGAAAGGAACCACCTGCCCAGACCTGACCCCCCAGACGGGGATTCGTGGGGAGAAGAGGGCCGGGTGGCTTTGAGCCATGAGCTCCTGTGATTGTCAGGCAGCAGGGGAGCCTGCCACCCGGTGACTGTTCCCTCTCCCAGGGCCTCCAGTGTCCTCTCGAGGTCTGCCCCGGAATTGTGCCCAAGGCCACATCCATCTCAGAGGTCCGAGGGCTTGGCCCCCATCCTCTCCACCCTTTTGGAAACTGAAATCTCACTTTGTTTGGTCCCCAGCCTCCTCTCCTGGCTGCGAGGTCTCTCCCTGAGCTGCTGACTGGGGCGCAGTCAACACCGCCAGCCCAGAGGTGCCCCCGGGGAGGGCTTCGTGGAGGGGTCGGGTGTCTCTGGCCATCAAACCGCGTCAGTCCGATGTTTGCTGAGAGGGCTGGAGGGCCGGGCTTGCATCCCATGGTCTGATGGTCACAGGAATCAGGAGGCAGAGGCAGGGAGGCAGCCCTCCTCGGGGCCCCAATGCGGCAAGCCTGGGACCCCCATAAAAAGGACTTCCTCTCCCGTGCCGCCAGCTCTCCCAGGCCAGCAGCCTCCGGCACCTGCAGCCAGGCCACCTGGCGGCACCCACCCGCCAGTCCCCAGCCCAGGACTGGCTTTGGGGGACATCGAGGTGCTGGTGTTTGCATCGAGGCGCTGGTGTTTGCATCTGTCTCTCCTATTTGTACGTCACACTTCGAAGTTAAATTTTAATCTGCATTTAATTGCCGTCATTGTCTAGGTATTATATGCTCAGAAATGAAGTCTAAGATGGAGCAAGATGAAAGTCGGGGTCACCCTCCGCCACCCCCGTCTCTCGTCCCGTCCCCGAGAGGCCCTAACAGAGCTGGCTCTAGACTTACAGTTAAGGCAGCCTCCGCCTGGCGCCGCCCGTGTCACGCCTGCATCTACGAATTCGTTTATTCCTGGGCTCCTGTTCTCCTGAGTTCCAGCTCTCTCACTTACCATTCGGTGGCCCCCAGAGACCATCAGATGAGAAAGGGAGGGCACACAGAGAGGTGGAGGTGACGTGATGACGCAGGCAGAGACGGGGCAACGCAGCCACCAGCCCAGGACAAGGATGCTGGCAACTCCAGGAGCCGGAGGAGGCCCGGCCAGATTCGCCTTGGAACCCGCAGGAGGGAGGGCCCAGCCCTGCAACCCCTGATCCCAGAGCTCTGGCCTCCCGGCTGTGACAGGATAAAGTCTGTTGGATGCGGCCCCCAGTTTGTGGTTACTTGTTGCAGCTGCCCAAGGCGACCAGCCAGCTGGATGGCGGGTGAGAGCTGGTGGAGAGCAGGCACAGTAAATGGTGCAGCCGCGTCTGGACGATGGGCTGTGGGTCTGCACTGGAACGTTCTTTCGGCTTCCCCGTGTGTTTGAAAATTTTTCATGACAAGTGTTGGAGAAGAAATGAAATGTTAGCAAAATAGAAACCTGTCTCTCCCCACCACCGCTTAACAAAATCTGAACAGATGTTTAAAGACCAGCAGTGTGAAGGGCAGCTGAACTCTGGCCAGCGGGTCCAGGCCACCCGGATGTCCCCGTGCTACCTGCACAGAGGCCTTCCCCTCCCCGCTCCACCTCAGCCTGGCCTCCCACTCCTGCACCCCAGCCTGCCTGACCTCCATCGGGTCACCCGTCCCGGTGAGGCCTTAGCAGGAGGACCCTATTTCTCGCCAACGTGTGAGGCTAGACATTCTAGGGACGGAGGGCAGGGCCACGTCCTGCTCTGCCCATGGCGGCCACCCCGAGAGCCCTGGAGCAGGACAACCCCTTGGGAGCAGGGCCCCTCTGTGCCTGGCTCTGCCTGCCGCCAGTGCCCAGAACAGGGCCCGACCCACAGGCCACAGTCAGCACTCGCCCATTCAAGTGACGAGTGAACGAGAGCATTAGCCAGCACCCCGCAGTTGCCTCTGTCCTGGGGACGCCGTGGTGGACACGAGGGCGCTCACAGCCGTTTAGGTGAGTCCCTGTCTCGGGCAGAGGAAATAGCTCTTAGCTCTTTTCATGTCATAGCTGTTGTTATTCAAGCAGAATAAATATGACCAGCCACCAGGGGGAGGCTGGCCTCCTGCCTGCCGCCCCAAGGAGCCGGTGGGCCTCCCCCAAGAGCGGCTCTGGTCCTGTCCCCTCCCCTTTGTGATCCGGCCTGGAAGCAGGACACAAGCCTCTGTTTGGACCTCAGCACCACAACCTCTTGCTGAGAATCTCAGGCAAGTCGCTTTGCCTCTCCGGCCCCCATGTTCGTCGTGAAATGGGTACAGCGCCAGCAGCCTCGGAGGCGGCCTGAGAGCCAGGGCCGTAGTGCAGGTAAAGTACCGTAGACAGCCTGCAGCTGAGCAGCGTTGCTGTTGCAGGTGCTTGGATGGCCACCTGGCGTTAGACGTTTTCTCCTGGAACAAAGTCCATGTTGGGGTGAAGGAGGGGAAATCCCTGTCGAGAGACAGGCCACGCCCACACAGACAGATCCAGGTCCTATTCCCGGGCCCTGGGTAAGTAAGCAAGATGCCTGGGAGGGGCCTGCACCCCGGAGAGGAAAAGGGCGGGAGGAAGGTTGGGCAGAGGAAGTCCAGCTGGGTGCAGGTCAGAGACGGGAGTGATGGGGCCACAAGCCCAGGGACACCTGGGGCCCCCAGAAGCTGGAAGAGGCAGGAAGACCCTCCCCTGAGCCTCTGGAAGGAGCGTGGCCCTGCACACACCTTGACTTCAGGCTTCGGGCTTCCAGAACGGTAAGAGAACGCATTCCTGTTGTTTCTGGCTTGTGGTGCTTCGTTGCAGCAGCCCCAGGAAGCAAGCACGACACCCCAAGCCTGCCCCTCACACAGCGTCCCCCCGTTGAGAGACGACTGCTCCTTCCTGGTTTCCTAGGTCGATAGGAGGACCTTGGCGCCTTCCCAATTCCTGTCCTCCCGGCCACGTCCAGCGCGTTGGCGCGTGCTGGCGCGTCACCGGCAGCTGGGTGCCGGCGCGCACAGTGGGCCAGGGACATGGGCTCGGAGCAAGGGCATCCGACCAGGACGAGAAGGACTCGTATCCAGACGCACGTCCCCAGCCCCGCCTCTGCTGCCTAGGTTTGCAGTGGCTTTAGCCGGCCTCCTGCTTGTATCCATTCATTCATTCATTCTAGGAATGGGCTCACGTGATTATGGAGGCTAGGGAGTCCCACAACCTGCCGCCTGCAAGCCGGCGGCTCAGGACAGCCGGTGGGGTAGATCGGCCCGCGTTCTAAGGCCTGAGAACCAGAGGAGCCGACGGGGTGAAGCCCGGTCCGAGGGCAGGAGGAGGTGAGACGAGGTGTCCCTGATCGCCAGGGAGGCGGGAAGAAGGGGGGCGTCCTCCTGCCTGCACCTTGGGCGCTACTCAGGCCCTTCTGGACTGGAGAGGCCCGACGCCGGCGAGGCCTCTGCGGCAGGGGCCCGCGGCCAGGCGAGCTGACACACGAGGCGCTGTCTCCGCCTCTCCTACCTCCCGGGTCTCACGCCCTCCCCGGTGCCCGTTTGGCTCAGAGGCCGCGTCACAGCAGCGATAGGTGACGGGCCTGCGCACACGCCCCACTGCTCCCCGCCGGGCAGCCTGCTCGCCCCCGCTGACCTTCCCCGGGCATCACGTGGCTCGCTCCCTCACCTCCTCCAGATAAGGCACCTGCTCAGCCGGCCCTGCTCTGCCCTTTGAGTACCCTCGTTCCCTACCGTCTTCCTAATGTATTTTTCCGTGTGACACTGGACAGGACACACAGCAGCCCGGCTGCGTCCCAAGCCCGGAACACCAGCACACAGTGGGCACCCAAGCCGTGCCACCCGAGGGAGTGGCAGCTGGAGCCCAAGGCACAGCGCTGGGGCAGCGTGGAAGCCCCACACCGTGTGGCCACTTAGTGTGCCCCCTGCCCCCGCCCTGGCCCAGGGCACAGTGACGGGACCCAGATGGCACTGTTGGCAGTTGTAGCCGTGAGGCTCTGCCTCATGGAAGGACCTTGTGTGGCAGGTAGCACGTTCTGACCCTGCCTCGGGGATTCTCAGTCTGCTGCAGCCAGAGACACTTTGCAGCGGGTGTAGAGCTAACCCGCCCCCCCCAAGTTGAGGGCTGGCCTTTGTCCAGCTCCAGGAGGGACCCGAGGCCCCGGGCGTCCTGATGGGAGCGCCGTCTGCGGGGCCGCGGCCCGTCAGAGTCCCCGATGGGGGTCACGGCGGGGCTTTGGGCTGAGTGGCATCCGCTCCCCCTCCGGAGGGGCTGGACACTGGGGGCAGCCACGTGGGTCCCACAGCCCCGGTAAAAACGGGACGCCGAGGCGGGGAGCCCCCGGCTGGCAGCACCCCGTGCGTGTGCTGTCGCACGTCAGGGCCCACGGGGAAGACACCGGACGCTCGTGGTCGGGGATCTCCGGGGTCTGTCCTGCGCCCTTCCCTTGGCCGGGGTACTTCACGCCCCCTCCCTGCAGTGAACCAGGACCGTGAGCACAGAGCCCTGAGGGGGCTCGGGTAGTCCTCCCAGGGGGTTGTCCAACCCGAGGGGATCTCAGGGGCCTTGGACTCGTAGTCGGTGTCAGAAGCAGGGCTCTTGTGTGCACTAGGCTCCTCCTAACTTTGAGGGTGGCTAACGCTCACACGATGGCCAGCAGAACTGCTTCCAAAACTCACACGGGGCACCTTCTGTGCTCTGTCTCGCTGCGTCCCAGTAACGAGAAGAGAGCCTGACACAGAGCGGGGGCTTAATCAATACCGGCTGGAATCAGTCAATTGCCCGGTTTGATGTGAGGGTCGGGGAGAAGCAGGGGTGCCTTCCAGATTCCAGGAGCGCTGTCTGGGCCTGAGGACCCAGGCACTGGGTCACCGTGACAGAGAGAAAGGCCAGGGGGCGGGTTGACCCCTCTGCTAGCACCTGACCCCTTGCTGCTTCCCAGGGAAAGCGTTGGCCCCGTGAGACTCGGAGATGACCTTCCGTCGCATCTATGTGGGCAGCGGGTCCTCCCAGGCTGCAGGGGCTTCCTGCTCCGAGGGCTCCGTCCCGGCCCTGGGAGCGCCAGGTGGCCTCTGGTGAGCCGAGGGTCCCTCAGTGCACGGTCTCACCTTGACCCCGGCCGCAGTTCACTCCCAGGTCACATAGGCTGAGCTCACTGGGAGCTGCGCCGTCGTCCACTCGTACTCACAGCCTCTGCCCCTCACCCAGTGGTGGCCGCGCGTTCACGCGCTCTCCCCACTGCCACAGCAGGGTCCGCTCTCAGGCCTTCACCCAGGCCTCTATTTGACGCCCCCCCCCCCAGCCCCTGGCCTCCTTTTTAACTGTGACCTAAGCCCCCTGGGCCCTGTCTTTGCCAGCCCTCACCACCGACTGTCACCCATCTGACTCACTTATTGTGTCTCACTGGGGTGAGGATTGGGGCCTGACTGCAAGCAGCGCTCAAGAGCAGGGCCAGCCGGCTGCCTGGGGCGCCTGCCGACTCCTCGACCCCTTGGCCCCCATGAGACCCGCATCGGGCTCCTGGCCTCCAGACCGAGGGAGTGCCTCTGGCGTGGCCCTCCCTCCGGCAGCCGGGAAACCGCACGCCCGGTGACAGTTGTGAGAGCACATTCATCCCACGGGCTTTGCCAAAATCAATCTGTTTGAACAACCCTCTGACAGAGCCCTGGGGTGGGGGGACAGACGGAAGCAGCTGTCACCAACAGCTGGTGGGTGCCAGGAGCCTCCCGCAGGGCCTCCCTGCAGGCCCAGAATGGCCCTGGGCTGTCCCCACCCTCTGGCTACATCCCTGCTTCTACTCGCTGCTTGTGGTCGCCTGGAGGCTGTGGGGTGGAGAAGGATTGCATGTGTTAGATGAGTAACGCGGCTGATTAAATTTGCTGGGCAGGCTCATGGCACACCACGCCGTCTCTCCCTGGGGGGCAGAGCATCTGTTTGAGGTCGTTGAAAAGACGGTGATTGAGACATCCTGAGGACTAGATCCTGCCATGAGCGCACAGCCCCCAAGGACAAAATCCTGGCCCCATCACTCAGGCTCCAGACCCCCCGAGGGGGGCGGGGAAATAAAGCCCAGGAACACAAACAGGCGTCTAGCAGCTCCCGGGTACTGAGAATGGGGGCAGGTCACCATCTGTGCCTTTCCTGGAATTTCCCTGCCCCACACTTCCCCATCCTGCTGTGGACCCGGACAGGGCAAGTCAGGGGCTCCCTGCCCTCCGGCCACCACTGAGTCCAGCCCAGGGAGCGTCCACAGGAAAGCAGGGTCAGGGGCAAGAGAGGGAGGCCCCCTGGATGCCGCCCTTGACCTATCTGGACCACAGCCCCTGCGGGCACCCTGCCCACGTAGGGTCCCCTCCTCTCTCCCTCCCCGTGTGTCTGTCTCACTCCCTCGGTTCCCATGTCCCCTCCCCTCCGCCCTTCAGCCCCAGGTGGGACAGCTCCTCCTGTGCCAGCCCCACCTGTGGATGCCCACGCCCCAAACACACCTGTGTCCCTTTGCAACACGGCAACTGTACTTCCTGTGAAAAAAAAAAAATGTTTGGTAGTTGCCCTAGAGTCTGCGATGTACATTCACAACCAATCCAAGTCCACTTCCAATAACACTGCCGGGCTCCACAGGCATGTCCACACCTTCCTGGAACACTGCTCTGTTCACATCCCCATAAGCTATAACCCCCCGATACATTGTGCTGGGATCATTCTGAAGAAACTGTTACGTGTTAGGACAACTAGAATAAGAAAAAGAGAAGATTTTATTGTGCCTTCATTTATTCCTTCTCCAGCTCTCTTCTCTTCTGCAGACCTGAGCTCTGGCCTAAATCATTCTCCGTCTGCCTGAAGGCCGTCGTCCACCATTTCTTTCGAGGCAGGTTCCTGGCGCCTGTTTCTTTTCTATACCTTCCTCAGAGGGCCCAGGTGGAGGGTGCCTGACTCATTCCATTTCATTTAAACCTACGATTTTCAACAACCCTACGACATGGGCATGATTTTGCGTGTCCTACAGGTGAGGAAACTGAGGCCCAGATTGCTGTGTGCACAGCGTTGGAGGTCATTCACCCACGCAATGACTTCAGAGCCAGGCTCCGAACCACTGCACCTGCACCCAGGAGACTCTGCGGGATGGGTGAGAGATGAGCTTCAGTTGGCCCAGCCCTGCCTGGCCCTCCTGGGAGCCCCCGGCCTCCTTCCACCTCCTGCCAGCCGTGTCGCTAACGCCGCTGTGGGCCACACCCTCAAGCCTGGCTTCTTCCCTCATCAGGACGCAGGACGCGGCCTCACGTCCTCTGAGAGGCTCGTGAAGCGCCTGCCCAGCTGCCAGCTGGCCCAGTTGTTGCCATGGAAAAGCCCAGAGCGTGTGGGCCGCCTGGCAGCCCGACACCCGCTCCCCTGGGACCCCCCGGCCAGGCTGCTGGCCCAGTGCCCAGAGCACACATGTGGCTGGGGACCTGCTCCCAGCGGGCCTCACTGAGGACAGCCAGAGGCCTTCCCTGGGAGGGACAGGCGATGCTGGGCCCCTCTGCATCCGTCAGGGCCAGGGGGGCCCCACTGCGGGCGACAGGGCTCTCTCTGCCTGCCCACCTCCCTCCCCCTTTTTGCTAATGGCACGCCAGCCTGCTTTGAGGAGCAGCCTCCTCCTGTGAGTACAGACTCAGGGGCCCCACCCTCACCTTGGTCAAACCCAGGTCTGGCCAGTCAGCAGGTGTCACTCCCCTACCTCTGTCTGTGTCACACAGGTTGGTCCAGGTCTGGGCAGGTAACCTTAGTCAAACCAGTGATACTCCTGGATACGTGCAAACGCCTAGCAAAGGCAAATGGCTGAGCACAGAGCCAGGGAGACTCAGATGTGTCGGCCTGGGTTGACCTCTGGTTCAAGCCATACCTGAAACCAGTATCCCTGGCATCTCCCATTGCCTGAGGTAGCACAGCTCCATTTTTATTCATGCCTGACTGGGTTGGGTTTTTGTCACTTTGGGGAGAGCCCTCACTAACACTCTTTGGGTCCTAAGAAGATCCCTCCAGGTAGGCTGTGTCCTGTGTGCCTTTACACAAACCACCCCCCGGGAGCTTTGGTCTCTGTGTCGTGGGGACTGGGTGCTACAATGGCTCTCACTGTGAGAGCATCCTCCACTCTGTGTCATCAGGAGGACGTCAAAAGAATCTCCTTGTGACGTCAGCCTTTCCCATCTTCAGAAAAATGTCAGGGCGCCCAGGGAAGCAAGAAGGGCCGAGCGTTGTCTCTTTAACAGAGGTTTGAGCTGCCTGCCTCACCGCAGCAAGAAGAGACTTGTCTGTGCACAGCCAGCCAGGAGGTTCTTTCTTGTTTCCACCCTTGTGTTCCAACTTGTGCCCAGCTCTTTGCCCTGGGACTCATTCCTTGCCCATTCCTGACCCGGCAGGTGGAGCCTCCCAGGCTGGCTTCTGCCTGGGCTCAGCCAGAAGGAGCCTTCGGTGGGAGACTGTGTGTCCATCACCCTGGATAGGAGCCCGTGGCCCTCAGTACTTCCTGCAAGACCTGGTGTGGGTGTTCCAAGTGGGGCTTGAGAGACTGGGAAGGAGTCACTCCACATCCAACTCTGCCTTCTTGGAGGAAAATTCCACAACTTACCCCAACTGTGAGCAAGTCCCCATGTCTCCCCAGCACATCACATCTATGAGTAGTGACACTGCAAAGAGTGAGACTGAAGCCAATATATTGGTCCTTCAGCAAAGCCGTGATATTTCCAACGTGCCCCCCTGACTCTCCCCATGCAGGCAAAGCACTGTTGCCTGACATCTGGGCTGGAGACCCCAGTGCCAGAGAAGTCTTCCCTGCGTCCCTCACCACTATCACCACCTCCGCCTCCACTTTCACTCTCAGGATGTTGATGATGGGGGTGGAGACAATGAGGAGGAGGAAGATGGTGAAACAGTTGATGAAGAAAGCGATGGTCGTAATGATGGAGGTGAGGGTGGTGATGATGGAGGTGAGGGTAGTGATGAAGAAGGTGATGGTGGTGATAATGGAGGTGATGGTGGTGATGATGGAGGTGATGGTGGTGATGATGGAGGTGATGGTGGTGATGATGGAGGTGAGGGTGGTGATGATGGAGGTGAGGGTGGTGATGATGAAGGTGAGGGTGGTGATGATGGAGGTGATGGTGGTGAAGATGGAGGTGAGGGTGGTAATTTGGGACCCATCACCCCCGGATCATGACTAAAAGCTATGTGACTTCTAGGTCAAGTTGTTCAACCTCTGTGTGCTTCAGTGTCCTCAGTGATAAGATGAGGATAACAAGGAATTGATCTCATTGGGTTGCTATGACAATTAAACGTCTAGGTAACTAGATGGCACTCTGGTCATTGATGACACTCAATAACTGCTAACTATTAGTGTCACTGTCATCATCCCCCTAGTCACAGTGTTTGATCAAGGATCCCCACGAGAGTCCAATCAGAGTGAACCCCGGGATTTCACTAGGACCATCTCACTGGGGTCACTGCCCTGGCAGAGTGCGATCGGGCAGCTGCAGTTCCGGGCCATTTTGCCCCAACCTGCACCCAGGGTGTGAGCCTGGCCAAGAACAGGGCCGACACAGGGGACACCGGAGCTGGTGGAGGGAGGCAGGGTCTCGGCAGGTTATCTGAAACCCTAGGTCAAGCTGGGTCTGCCCTTTTCAGCAACATGAATAAAGTCCTTTCATTCTACGTCCGCCAGTTGTGTTGGGTTTAGGTTCTTCACGATGGAAGGGGCCCCAGTGGGTCCATGTGAGGCTCTGCTGAGCCCTGAGGGCAGGTGATAAGTGGAGGATGAGCCATGCAGGGTCTGAAGGGTGAGGGAAGGAGGGAGAAGAGGCTGTGGCCATGGGCAGCAGCTTGAGCTTCCTCACACCATGGTGGCCAGGTTCCAGAACTGGCCCGTCTCTCATTCCCTTCCAGTCAAGGGTCGCCGTGTACACCCACACGGGTTGTGCACTGCACAACTCCAGGAGATGCCAACCTTCAGCACTTAGGCTTTCCAGTCTGTATCTGGAGTGACAATTTTCAGCCCAAATCTCTAAAGGTCAGCTCAGGTCAGGTTAATCAATTCTCTGGAACCACCTGAAACAAGGCTTAAAGAGTAACCTGGACAAGCAGATAAGGAAATCCAGGGGCAACAGATATCTGTGGAGACAGGCAGGAACCAGATGAGCAAAGCACATGGTGGAAGGGAATAGGGAGTGGTGAGGATAGTGGCAGGGGAGCACGGGCTCTGCCTAAAGGTGTTCAAATGCCTTGACCTTCTACCTGCCAAAAAAGTGAGCCCACAGCAGAATTCAGGTCAAGTTCAGAATCTTTGAAATAGAGACACTGTGCCTTAAGCAAAGATGGAGTCTTATGTGTCCCACAGAGAGCCCAGCAGAGCAGGTGCTCGGCAATAACGCTGACCTGGGTTAACCTGAGACCCGAGACCTCGTGTGATCTCTGAAGGACCAGAAAATAGGGCTTCTGCGTACGAGTCCAGATAGTATAAGAGCAACGGCTGGTGTGTATCGAGTCCTGTCCACACTCCAGGACGCGTAAGCGCTGTTGGAGAGACACCTACTGCTTACAAATACCTGCGAGCTCCTCTCACTTCCCAGCCCTCTCATGTTTTGGGGACCCATGTGGCTGCTCTGCCCTGTGTCACTTCAGGGCCACCGCAGGACGGGTTGGGGCCTTCCCTCCCAGCTCCCTCTTACACAGCTCGGGCAACTGATACCGTTCCAGACAGTAGACCCTCCACCGGCCTGGGTTCCTGAATGACCACGTGGACAGGAATGGAATGAGCCTGTGAGAAGCGCTGCGCTTCCAGCTCCACTCGCACCGTGAGCTAGCCTGTCGTGGCTAAGGCCTGGGTGCTCACACACGGTTCAAGGCAGTGGAGAGGGAAACAGCTCCGAGAGCAGCCGCCGCCCCTCGGAGCCCGCGTGGACGTGCACCTGAACCCCATTCCGGTGGCTCCTGAGCGCCCCCACCCCGCCCTCCAGGGCTCATTTGCTCAACCTCCCTCCCGTGCGCTCGATAGGCTCCTCTGGCCCGAGTCAGCGGAACCTGAACTTGGGTGTCTGCCGTTTGCAAGAACAGCCAAAGAAAACCTGACAGATCCAACGTTGTCCTGCTCTCCTCTGGGTTCTCCATAACCGAAGGGAAGTTCCGGGGTTCCAAGGAGCTCAGGAAGTGTTTGCTGGATAAACAAAGAAACCAAGCGTGGCACGGGTGCCTGAGAGCTGCCGGGGCCGGACGCCTCAGGGGCCACTCCCTGCCTGAGGAGGTGGTGGGTGGCATCAGCCCTGACTGAGGGGCAGCCAGGACCCTGGGAGGGAGTATCAGGCTTCAAGGCACAGGGAACCAGAGAACCCGGGCCCCATCCCCTTTGCTGTGGCTTTCGTGGGCTTTTGACAGGTAACGGGGTCGTTTCAGATGCACTCTTTCAGTAAGATGTGCTTGTGGCGGAAGACTCAAACTGGATTAAGCAAAAAGGGAATATATTGAATCACGTGTATGTGAAGTCCATGCATAGAACTGGCTTCAGGTACAGCTGGATCCGAAGTTAAAAATGTCGTTAGATCTCAGTCCCCTCAGTCTCCTTGCTCAGTCGTCTTCCATGTGGGATCCAGTCTCTGGCAGGCACTCCCCTTGTGATGGCAAGACCCCAACTGACACCTGCCTGCCCCCAAGACCTGAGAAAAGAGGGAACCTCCCTTCCATGGTCACCACCAAGGCCCTGGGTCATGTGCCCACCCCTGGACCAATCACTGCGCACATAAACGGGATGTTGCAACTGGCATGGCTTGAGTGACACACTCACACCTGGAGCCAGAGATGAAGTTAACACCTCTTTAACTTCATGGACTGAGTACAGGAGAGGAGGGATTCCCCAGAGGAAAATCAGGATGCCAGCAGCAAAGACGTGCTGCACGATGGACGATGGACGATGGACGATGCCCGCTGTCCACCAAATAGCCGTCCATGCCCCCCTTCCTGGCTCACAGAGCCCCATTTTGTTCCTTCAGAGGCAGAAACCCCAGGACCACAGGAAAGTCTGGCCCCCAACCCCAGCCTTATGACAAATCATATTTGGTGGAAGACAGTCATTAGTAAACCCACCCCCCCTTTGCCAGTTTTTCACTTTGCCAGCTTCCTTTACAGCAATTAATGGCCATGAGACACACTATTCTGGTGATGGGAACTCCTGGGATTTGGCATCACTGTTGCTTTCCTCTCCTCATGGGGTGCTGGAGTGAGGCCACGATGGCTGGAACTGCAGCAACCATGTCGTATCAATAAAACATCGAGTAAGATAAATAAAAGCCAATGCTGTAAGTAACGTTCTATTTCTTGATTGTTACATGGGTAACACGGAACACGTAACATTTTATGAGAATGCGTTGAGCCTTGCACTTTTCTAGCTGGAGACAATTAAGAATTGCAACTGGGCTTCCCTGGTGGCACAGTGGTTGGGAGTCCACCTGCCGATGCAGGGGACGCGGGTTCGTGCCCCGGTCCGGGAAGATCCCACATGCCGCGGAGCGGCTGGGCCCGTGAGCCATGGCTGCTGAGCCTGCGCGTCCGGAGCCTGTGCTCCGCAACGGGAGAGGCCACACCAGTGAGAGGCCCGCGTACCGCAAAACAAAACAAAACAAAACAAACAAAAAAAAGGACGGTAACCTGTAATAAGAACACCTACAAAGAGTCTTGTGTTAGCTCAACTAAGAGATTAAATGAGTTAATGCAGGAAGAGGATTTGGAACCACATCTGACAGATAAACTCTCAAAAAGCAATGGCTGTTAGTGCCCTTGTCACCATCACCACTGCTGCACCACCACACGGTGCCCCCTCCGTGGCGAGCTTCTCCCGGCCCTACCTTTCTCTCCAGGTACCGTCCCACACCATGTTCCCCTTCACTGTCACACTCATTGAAAGAGGTGCCTGTGCTTCCTAACGTCACACCCACAGCCAACCAGCCGTGGCAGAACCTGGTAACTTCGAGTGTAATGACTTGCTAACTACCCACCTCCAGTACTGACTGCAGGCCCCCGAGGGCCAAGTCTGTGCCCCTCGAGGTCACCACTGCCTCTGCTGCACACACAGATGTCCTGAAAGTCACTGCAGAACCAACAGCTGGTTCCCACAGGCTGGCAGAGCAGAAACGTTTCAGTCCCTGACCGCTGGGCTCATCACAGTCCATGCCTGAGGCACCCAGCTGTAGCTGAGGAGCTCTGTGAGGTCTTCTCTGAGCCTGGCTGCACGTCCCCTCTACCCTCCTCATCCCCATCTGCATCAGTCAGCTAGTCCACAACATGCTGAGTAACAAACAGCCCCAAGATCCCAGCTTCTTTGGACAATAAGTGTTTATGGTTCACGTGTTTGGACATTGGCTGGACTGCTCATTTCAGCTGGACTCACTCTAGGATGGGCGTGCCCAGCACTGTAGCCAGGGCACTCAGTCCTCGGTGTGTCTCACCCTCCCTATCCTCCTGGGTCCAGTGGGCTAGCCTGGGCACGGCCTTCTCACGGCCCTGGCAGAGGCATGAGAGAGCAAGTGGAAACACACAGGGTCTCCTGAGTCTAGGCTCAGAATGGGCACATGGCCACTTCCACCCCTTCCATGGACCAAGGCGAGGTTGTAGGGGCCTCTAGGAGGGGGTGCTGGTAGGGGAAGCAACGCACCCCCCTCAGGGTAGCAGCCTGTAGTCATTTCTTGTGGCCACAAAATGGGCAGCTTAAAGCAACAGAAACTCACTCTCTCCGAGTTCTGGGGGCCAGAGGTCTTAGATCAAGGTGCCAGCAGGCCTGTGCTCCCTCTGAAGGCTCTGAAAAGACTGCCTCTTTACTGCTGACCTGAACTTAGCAGGATGAGACTGCTGCAACCCTCACCTCCCAGGTGAAGCCAGTCTGAGTCCAGCCCGACCTGAGGCCCAGGTGCACATCTGAAGCTCCACAGCAGAGGAAGCCAGGCTGGGTTTGGGTTTCTGTCCACTTCAAGTGGAAAAGCCCCAGGGGTCCCTGCGGCCCTGTCCTCCCTCCCACAGGCTGCCACCCCCAACCTGCTGTGCATACCGCTCAGGGCCATGTTGGGGACACAGGGACAGTGCAGACAGGATCTCCCTGCCTTGCAAACACCCCTTTCTTTCTTTTTTTATAAATTTATTTATTTATTTATTTTTAGCTGTGTTGGGTCTTCGTTGCTGCATGCGGGCTTTCTCTAGCTGTGGCAAGCAGGGGCTACTCTTCGTTGCAGTGTGTGTGCTTCTCATTGCAGTAGCTTGTCTTGTTGTGGAGCAGGGGCTCTAGGCGCGTGGGCTCAGTAGTTGTGGCTCGCGGGCTCCAGAGTGCAGGCTCAGTAGCTGTGGCGCACGGGCTTAGTTGCTCTGCAGCATGTGGGATCTTCCCGGATCAGGGCTTGAACCTGTGTCCCCTGCATTGGCGGGCGGATTCTTAACCACTGCGCCACCAGGGAAGTCCCCAAACACCCCTTTCTTGCATGAGCCTTCCACTCCTCCAAGGCTGGACCTGCTGGAAGACACCCTCCAAGGAGAATCAGGAAGCCGGGACTCCTGGGGCGCCCCAGACAAAGGATACTCAGGGCCCCCAGTGTGTGCGGCACGGAGTCAGGCCCACAGCTGCTCTTCTGGAGCTGACGCACTCACGAAGGAGAGGGTACCAAGATGGCAGGAGGGAGCCTGTGCCTGGAGAGGCCTTGGGCCCAGGGAGGTGCACTGCCTGTGGGACTGGGCCCCAAAGCCTGGCCTTCTGCGATGGGCGGATAGGGGTGGCGGGACAGCGCTACGGGGTGTTGCCTGTGTGTCTCTAGCATGGCCAGGAGGCCGGGCAGCAGCTGTTAAGATAGAGCCTGGACAAACCCACGCTCCAGAGGGACCTCTCACAGCCGTCCCGGCGAGCCAAGCCCTTCCTCGGGGCTCCAGGAGGGGCAGGAGATGGAGGAAGCCCCCGGGGCTGCAGCCCAGAGCTGCCTGAGCCTCTCGGGGACGGGGGCTGGTGGGTCCTGACCCCGTGGGTGACGCTGGCAAGCCGGGCGCCTTGCAGGGCCCCCGGAGGTGAACTGACGGCTCTCGCTCTCACTTCCGCCTGCCAGAGCGCACGGACTTCTCACGTGGGCATCCCTGACCGGCCACTCGGCGAGGGGAATTCTGAGAAATGTTCCCACTCAGCTGGGTGAACCCAGCACGAAGCGCCCAACTGCACTTCGGGGAGGAGTGACATCTGAGCTAGGGCTGATGAAGAGGGAGGTTGTGGACAGGGTGGGGCAGTAGGGGGTCAGGACAGCTGGGCAGCCCCCGAGCAGCAGTGGCTCAGAGCCCAAGCACAGAGCAGGTCCTGAGCAGCAGGAATGAGTTGGGGGGGCACACTTGGGATGAGCACACCCAAATTCCAATCCCCTGGATACCCTGCTCAAAACAGATTCTAGGGAATCCCCTGGCGGTCCAGTGGTTAGGACTCTGCGCTTCCACTGCAAGGGGCGCAGGTTCCATCGCTGGTGGGGTAACTAGGATCCCACAAGCCTTGCAGCGTGGCCAAAAAAAAGGACAGAGTCTAATTTCAGTCAGAGGCCATTGGATTGGCGTAGCCTGGGCCCCTGTTGTGACAAATGGGAATATGGTCCCCAAATCTCTACTTCCTTCCTGTAGCAGGGACACACACACACACACACTCACACACACACACACACACACACACACACACACACACACACACACACACGAGAATACAGCACCACCCTCCCCTCCCCACACTGGAGCGGTGGCCTCAACTTCCTGCCGCATGGGTGGCAGTCTTGGCTGAAAGACTTGCTTTGGACAGGACGTGAGCAGACATGATGAGGCTTAAACATAGACTTTCAAAGTGCCTGTGCAGTGTGGCTTGGCCCCATGAGTTTTGCAAAGAAAATGCCTCAGGTAGCTCACGTCTTGCAGCCTGGGTCCCAGAGAGAGACCCTTGAAACAGACCTGAACTTGACCCACAGTCTGAAGCTGAGCCCCTCCAGGAACCTGCAGCCCCACCGGCAAGAAAGAAAGAGTTATGTTCCAAGTCGCAGAGATTCCAGGGGCTGTTTGTCACACAGCATTAATATGGCAGGAACTAGGACACCTGCCCATTCCTGGGCCAGGAGAGGGGGGAGCGTGCAGTGGGCTGTCCACCCCTCCCAGACTGCACCCATGGAAGGAGGCTATGGAGGCACGCTTGCCAGAAGGAGGTGGGATGGATACTGGGAAGGTGGAAACCAACATCATCTCTCACCGTGCTGGAGCAAACAGCTGTTCACAGACGGGGCAGCAGGGGCTGGCCTGTTAGCAGGAACTCATTTTCTGGCTGTCACCCTACAAGCGAAAAGTATGTTTGAACCCCAAAGGAGCAGCTGACTCTGATGATTTATAGGGCCTGAAGCGGCCCTGTGAGGGCAAACTGAATTCTGAATACAATTCCACACCAATTACCTCTGCTCAGAGCCTGACAGAACAGCAGTGACTCTAAGACAAACCCAAACAGCGGAGACTGATGGGGCTGACAGGCCACCTGGAAGCAAATAACTTTCAGCGGTGCCTCTCAGAGCTCTGCTGGGGAGGGCGCTCTGCTGTGTGTGGTGACCGGGCGAGGGCCTGGCTCTGGGGATGGGCCCAGGGGAAGGCTGGGCTTCTGGCCTCACGGCAATGGGCTAGCAGGCTGGGGGTGGGATGGGGGGCTTCTCTCTGGCAGCGTCCTGCCCTTGGGGAGGGTCCCCTTTCCCCTGTTGGACTGGGAGGGATGAGTCCTCAGGGATGGGATGAGGCAGGAGAGACCTGGCCTGGCTGCGGACCAGAAAGCTGAGCCCCAGGGGTGTGGAGGGAGCTTGTGGGAAGGCAGAGAAGAGGGAGGAAATCGAGGTCATCAAGAGCCAGGTCCCGAGGGGCGCATCTCTCGGGGGAGGCGGAGCAAGAGGCGAAGAAGCCCTTTCTCATGTGAACAAGAGGGGCGCACAGCCTGTGGTCCCCAGACCCGCAGCCCCGCTTGTCGGAAGGCAAATCTCCAGAAGCAGCTGAGTCTCTGGTTCGGTAACAAGCCTCCTGCCTGTGTCACTCCAGGCGGAGTTCAGACCACCCGCCACAGGGAGCGTCGCCATCACGCCCCACCCAGGGTTTACGGAAGGGACAGCTGATGCAGAGAAGTGAGACCATCTGCCCACAGTCCGATGACAGAAGCTGAGGCTGGAGCCCAGGTCCTAGATCTGCCCTGCCCAGCAGAGTAGCCGCCAGCCGCAAGGGGCTGTTTCATTTCAGATTAAAGTTAATAAATAAAATGTACAGTTCAGTTCTTCAGCTGCCTGAGCCACATCTCAAGGGCTCAAGAGCCTTGTATGGCTGGCGGCTACTGAACTGGACAGCATAGATCTAGAAAGTTCCCATCACTAGCATGGTGTAGAAGCTATCCCTTAGCCACTGTTGGTGTCCGCACTCCAAAGCCACCCCCCCATGTCTCTCCAGCAAGAAGAGAGCAAATGTGGGTGCAAGCAAACAGGTCAAAACGAGAGACACAGGGGCCCTGCCACCCCTTACACCAGCAGGGAGCGGAGGCGTCAGGCGCTCAGCTCTGCGGGGCTCCTGCAAACCCTGCGGAGCAGGTTCAGAGCCCTGGGAAGGGTACCCAGTCATTCTGTCACGATGTGCATAGCTGGGGGGAAAATGAGCACAAGGCAGGCAAGTAGGCTTCGGCCTCAGATCGCCCCACCCTGCCCCTCTCCAGAGGGGAGGTTCCCTGGGCCCAGAATCCTGAGGAGATGGCGGCAGCTGGTCCCTAAGGCGCTGGCCAGCCACCTGGAAATGAATCGAGGGAGGGAAACACCTGGGGGGGAGGGGGTGCTCCCCAGGAGAGCTAAGAAACTCAGAGAGGAGTTCCCACAGGGCATCTACAGAGACCCCATCCTTCACCCTGAACGCACATCCAAGCGTCTTCAAGAACAGATGAGCAGACACAGTCATTTCTACACTTGAAAATTTCAACACTAGAAGCTGGACCTTCCCAAGCATTGCTCTAGGAGGGTGGGGAAGGGGTGACAAGGAAGGACCCATAGGAAGCCCCTACAGTCCCCAAGGTCAGTTCAGCAGCCCAGGCTGCCCAGGCTGCAGGTCTCTGAGGCCTCCGGAGCAGGTATGGGGCCTGGAGACCCCTCTGGGGATGGGCAGGCAGGCCCAAGGGCCTAGATCCAAATGAAACCCGAAAGATTTCCCCTGGGACCACCCCCCAACACAGATTTTCTGGCCTTCTGTCCTCAGAGGGGAATTAGGGGAGGACGAATGCAGAGAAAGTTTGCTGCGTTCCTAACAAGGCTCTGAAAAATCAAAAGGGATATGCTGCTGGGGGAAGTCAGAGTTATAACAAAATCTGGAATGGGAAGAGGGGGAGGAGGACCCTGCCCCCACCCCAGAGAGGCTAGGAGAGGCTGGGGGGAGGGCCCGGAGCAGAGGGAGCCTGGCAGGATGGGCCTGGGAGGACTGGAGGTTGGTCTGGAGGTCTGAGCTCCCCACCACCCCTGTATCCAGAAGTTTGCAGAGCAGCCTTCCCAGCCGCCCCCAGGGACAACCCTGCCAACAGCCTGTGACAACCCAGACCACACAGCTCCCTGCCCTGCGCACGCTGGGGCCCTGAGCTGGCTGCTGGCTGGCCCCCTCTCATCTGGTGGGTCTCAGCTCGAACTGCCACTCCTCAGAGACCTTCCGGGACCACCCCATGCGCACTTCCTGTGACACTTCCCGTGACACTTCCCTGTCAGTTTTCTTCAAGTTGCCCTTCCATATTATGTTATTTGGCTGCGTTCATGCTCTCTCACTTCTAAAAGGGCCATCTGTCTCATCGACTACTGCATCACAAACAGCGCTGGGATGGAGGGCATTTGGTAAATGTGTGCTAAATGAATTGATGACCTTAAGATTTGAGGAAGACAGCGGGCCCCTCCCGACCTGCAGTCGGTCCTCACCAGTCTCCATGCGTGAAAGAGGAAGGTCCTCCTAGACCTAGCTTTCAACTCTCAGGCTGCCCTTTCTCATCCGTTCCTGCCCTGGTGCAGCCCTGGATGGGGAGCAGCCCCTGCACCCCAAATTGCTGTCTCTGTGCCAACCAGGCACGCCCGGGGCCTCCCACCCAGAGGGGTGAGGTGGGGAACTTGACCCAGGAGAAGGGAGAGGGGCTGCACTTCGTGTAGAACTCCCCCTTCCCAGACTAGAACCCAGAGGTTGGGGTGCCTGGGCAGGGGCCGGTGGAGAGCACGGGGAAGCCGTGGAGGGGCAAGACCAGCCTGCAGGAAGCTCCCGGGGGAACAGGGGCAGGAGACACGTGAAGAAGTCCTGGACTGGGGCGCAGGGTAGTGAGGGGCCGAGAAACTGTCACCCGACTTTCACACGCCCCCACTCGGGGCGGAGGTGGTCTGTGCCCCTCCACAAGCAGAGTAAGACCCTTACCCTCCCCTGTATCAGGAGTGGCGGCGAGGACGCCCCACCCTCGGCCCTCGCATCAGGGCTGGGACGAGGACGCCTCATCCATGCTCACCCTGCGGGGGCGGGGGCGGAAGGGGGTGACGGTGAGCGTGGAGAGGCCCCCACTTTTCTGCTCATGCGCTCCCATTTAAAGATTCTTCGGAACGAGGCTGCGCCTGGGGAGGCGCAAAGACGCCCCCCCCACCCCGCAACTGAAACAGCGGGCAGCGATCCAACTCCCCACACCTCTCACTTTCAGGGACGCCTGCCCAGGTGCGAGCGGAGGGGCGGGAAGCGGGTCGGCCTCCCAGCTGCCTTCCCCGAGGGGCGGGATGACGGCGGGGCGGAGCGCGGCTCGGGCGGGGCGGGGCCGGAGGCGGGGCGGTGGGGCAAGGCCGAGGGGCAGAACGCGGCCTGGGCGGGGCCAGGAGGGGCGGGGCCAGGACGGGGCCAGGGCGGGGCGGGGCTCGTGTCGGCCCTGCTGAAGCGCCCACTTCCTCTGGCGCCGGCTGCCTGGCGGAAGTACGTCAGTTGTTATCCGCTCGGGGCGCCGCTGCCACCGCCGCCTCACGAGCCCAGGCGCCTCAGCCCCGGTCCGCGCCCCGCCCGCCCACCGGGCCTCCGCCCAGCCTTCGCCCGCCGCCAGCCGCCCGCCGCCAGTCGCGCATGGGGCGTGCCCCCGGGTCCGCGGCCGACGGCCGCTGAGCGCCGGCCGCCCCGCCGATGCGCGCGGCCTCCCGCGCCGAGGCGCCCAGGCCGCGCCGGGC